GTTCTCTTAATCCAGAGGAACTTACGTTCTTTAGGGTGGTCAACCAGTCCAGAGGCTGATCAGAATCTGTAGGGAGGGTGAAATCAGAGAGTACACTCTTCAAGTCGTCGGATTTGAGAGCAAGTATTTCCACAGAACCACCATGGTAGGGGCATAGCGCAGAATCAGGTGACAAGGGAAGTTTGGTAGGAAAGGTCTGGTGTGATACCCAAGTTGTAACCCAATGTACAAGTTCTTCTCCATAGAAACTTCCCAATTCACAGGTTTTTTTCACGTTCGCGTCCATAGCACTTACGCTTTTAATTAATACAGCTCCCCGCACAACGAAGAACATCATATTAAGTGGTTTTTTCTCTTTAAGAATATACTGCTTGGCATTGAAGTTCATGGGCTTAAGACGCTTGGAGATTGCTTTCAACACTTGTCCGTCCATTTGTTGAAAGATTTCCACCTAAAATTAGATAGATTTGGCATTGTCAGTTAAGAAAAATATAAAACCAAATCTTCTAAAAGTTAGTACCGGCTAGCTAGGATGATATATAATGATTTTAATTGGTTTTGTCTTCTTCATTGAGTCCAAACGCTTGCTTGAATACATACGTACATATATCTTTTCTTCATATAAAGAAAATCTTCTAAAAGTTAGTACTGCAGATAGAGCAACTGGTTTATTTGACACATTAATTTGACAAACATAAAGAGAACATTATATAACTCAAATAAGTAATATCATGGAAGATGAGAATCAAATTATTCTTCTTTTATATGTCTTCTAAATTGAGAGGAGCTTACTTTCTTAAGTAATGTCACCATGCACAACTTCTTGAAATGCGACTTGGATTTAGAGCAGATGCTCTCCATGTCTGTGGCAGAGAGAACAAGGGCTTGAACATCATCAAGGGCCTCAACAGACTCATCGTTTATGGGTTTTGCATCACCAGAGGAGGTCCACGATGACGCAACTAAAAGGTTCACTCCATAAAAATCTCCTGCGCCTAATGGCAGCATAGAATGAGTTGGATTTACAATACTTACACGTCCGTCCACAATGAAAAGCATCTTTTGAAGTGGTTCATCCTTTCGAATAATGATTTGTCTACTAGTATACTTCTCGGGCTTAAGCTTCTCAGAGATTTCTCTCAAAACTCCTTCGTCCATGTCTTTAAGTAGTGGCACCTAGAAATAGATACAATATTTGAGAAAATAATCAGCAATTTAAAATATAAAGCAAATCTTCTAAAAGTAGTATTGGGTAGCGAGGATGATATATAATGGTTTTAATTGGATGTGTTTTCTTCATTAAGTTCTAAATACTTGCTTAATATATATATATATATATATATATTTATATAGTAATGCAGATGGAGCAACTTACTTTCTTTAGCCAAGTCAACAGGAGATCTGAGGGAGAGGCGAAATTATTGAAATGCTTCATGAACTTAGAGACCACACTCTTGGAACTAAAGCCCAAGGTCGCCATGTCTGTGGCAGAGAGAACAAGGGCTTGAACATCATCAATGGCCCAAACAGACTCATTTATGGGTTTTGCATCACCGGAGGAGGTCGACGATGGCGAAACTAGGAGTTCCTCTCCATAAAAATCTCCTGCGCCTAGATGTTCCGACTGAGAACCATCTGTCTTATCAATGGTTACATGTCCGTCCACGATAAAAAGCATCATTTGAAGTGGTTCATCCTTGTTTATAATGATTTGTCCACGAGTATACTTCTCGGGCTTGAGCTTCTCAGAGATTTCTCTCAAAACTCCTTTGTGCATGTCTTTAAGCAGTGGCACCTGGTATTAGATACAATATTATTTGAGAAAACTAACCAACAATTAAAAATCTAATATCTATCATTGAGAGGAGCTTACTTTCTTAAGCATAGCCACCATGCACAACTTCTTGAAATGCGACGTCGATTTAGAGCCGATGGTCTCCATGTCTCTGGCAGAGAGAACAAGGGCTTGAACATCATCAAGGGCCTCAACAGACTCATCGTTTATGGGTTTTGCATCACCAGAGGAGGTCCACAATGGTGCAACTAAAAGCTTCCCTCCATAAAAATCTCCTGCGCCTAGATGTTCCAACCGAGAACCATCTGTCTTATCAATGGTTACATGTCCATCCACGATAAAAAGCATAATTTGAAGTGGTTCATCCTTTCGAATAATGATTTGTCCATGAGTATACTTCTCGGGCTTAAGCTTCTCAGAGATTTCTCTCAAAACTTCTTCGTCCATGTCTTTAAGTAGTGGCACCTAGAAATAGATATGTTTAAAAAGTAATGCATATTTGTGTAGATGTAACTACAAAATTCTAGAAAACTCAGGAACCTACAAACTAGATGAGCGAATGTCGGCAACACACAAATAAATATGCAAAGAATATTCTAGATGAAGCCACACACTTGTGGCTTGAGAAAAGAGAACAAGTCGGTGTGTCTAAAGCATGGCGGCAAGACTCATCTATAAATAGACATACAATGTAATCTAGCAAAGTGGAGTAACCAGTAAACTCCCAAACTAAGTGGGTAGTAAACAAGCCAACTCCCAAATTAAGGGAGCCAAGAGCTACCCAAACAAAACTATGTTGAGGAGCCAATAAGCTTACCAAGCTAGGATGGTATATAATGGTTTTAATTGGATGTGTTTTCCTCATTAAGTTCTAAATACTTGCTCTATATATAGGCAGAAAATGGCGAAATATTCAAAATATCAGAAAATATTATTGGTTAATTTAAACATTAAGAATTGAAATTATTAATTAAATAAGGATAATATGGTAAATTCATATTTTTTTTATATTCCAAAAAATTAAAAATAAAAAAAAATCAGATAATAGGTCATACTTTTATAGAACATAACTACCTATGTTATATCTATATATATAAAGCAAAATGCGGAGAATTATGAAATATTCAAAATACTAGAAAATGTCATTGGATAATTCAAACATTAAAAATTAAAATTATTAATTAAATGAGGATAATATGGTAAATTCACATTTATTTTATATTAAAAAAATTTAAATAAAAACAAAATCAGATAATAAATCATACTTTTATGGAATATATCTACTCATATTATTTTTTCTTCATTCTAAAAATAAAATAAAAAATAAAAAAGAAAACCAATTGGCATATATACATATATATAGATATATATATTTAGAGTTAATTACACTTAAGTATCCTATGAATGATATATAGTTTCCAATCATGGATGTATTTTTCCCAATCGATTTCCATATTGGAGAAGAGAGAAAAGAGATGAAGGTGAAGAGAAGGAGAACGTGAAGTAGGTTTGGCAAGTGGGGACCTCTGTTTCCAATGGGTTTCTGGCTAAGCATGATTTTGGCACAGACAATCTCGCGGCCAAAAGGGAGCTTGAGCTTTGAGTTGGGGGTTTTCAAAGAGATTGGGGATTGGATTTTGGAGATGGGGAATTTGGGGTTTGGGCTTTGGTCTTGGGTTCTTGGGGTTTTTAGCGATGAATCTGGGCAGTGAAGGCGGTGGATGCAGATGTGGTGTCGAGACTCTGAGTTGGGTCTTGGGGATGAATCTGGGCAGTGGCCTGGGTCTAGGCATAGAGGTCGGGGAAGGGGGTGGCATGGGGTTGGGTTTTTTTCTCCAGCCTTTTAAATTGAATAATATTTTATTACACCTAACTAATAAAAAAATAAAAATAGGAGACCCATAAATGCCACAAAGGTAATTAACGGTATATCTGACAGAAATCTTAACGACAGAATTACATTTTACTAAATTTAAAAGACTAGAGTATGTAATTGTAAAAATTGAGAAGATATAGACTAATATGTTTTAAGGGTGTAATCACAGGATATTAAACTGTCATTAACCCATATATTTATATGGTAGTAAGTAATGCAGATGGAGCAACTTACTTTCTTTAGCCAAATCAACACGATATCTGAGGGAGAGGCGAAATTGTTGAAATGCTTCATGAACTTAGAGACTACACTCTTGGAACTAAAGCCCAAGGTCGCCATGTCTGTGGCAGAGAGAACAAGGGCTTGAACATCATCAACGGCCCGAACAAACTCGTTTATGGGTTTTGCATAACCGGAGGAGGTCGACGATGGCGAAACTAGGAGTTCCTCTCCATAAAAATCTCCTGCGCCTAGATGTTCCGACCGAGAACCATCTGTCTTTTCAATGGTTACATGTCCGTCCACGATAAAAAGCATCATTTGAAGTGGTTCATCCTTGTTTATAATGATTTGTCCACAAGTATACTTCTTGGGCTTAAGCTTCTCAGAAATTTCTCTCAAAACTCCTTTGTGCATGTCTTTAAGTAGTGGCACCTGGTATTAGATACAATATCATTTGAGAAAACTAACCAACAATTAAAAATCTAATATCTATCATTGAGAGGAGCTTACTTTCTTAAGCATAGTCACCATGCACAACTTATTAAAGTGCGACTTCGATTTAGAGCCGATGCTCTCCATGTCTGTGGCACAGAGAACAAGGGCTTGAACATCATCAACGGCCCGAACAAACTCGTTTATGGGTTTTGCATAACCGGAGGAGGTCGACGATCGGGAAACTAGAAGTTCCTCTCCAAAAAAATTTCCTGCGTCTAGATGCTCCAGCCGAGAACCATCTGTCTTATCAATGGTTACATGTCCGTCCACGATAAAAAGCATCATTTGAAGTGGTTCATTCTTATTTATAATGATTTCTCCAGGAATATACTTCTTGGGCTTAAGCTTCTCAGATATTTCTCTCAAAACTTCTTCGTCCATGTCTTTAAGTAGTGGCACCTGTATTAGATACAATATCATTTGAGAAAACTAACCAACAATTAAAAATCTATCATTGAGAGGAGCTTAAACTAACCAACAATTAAAAATCTATCATTGAGTGGAGCTTACTTTCTTAAGCATAGTCACCATGCACAACTTCTTGAAATGCGACTTCGATTTAGAGCCGATGCTCTCCATGTCTCTGGCATGGAGAACAAGGGCTTGAACATCATCAATGGCCCGAACAGACTCGTTTATGGGTTTTGCATCACCAGAGGAGGTCGACGATGGCGAAACTAGAAGTTCCACTCCATAAAATTTTCCTGCGTCTAGATGTTCCGACCGAGAACCATTTGTCTTTTCAATGGTTACCTTTCCTTCCACGATGAAAAGCATCATATGAAGTGGTTCATCCTTGTTTATAATGATTTCGCCAGGAGTATAATTATCGGGCTTAAGCTTGTCAGAGACTTCTTTCAAAACTCCTTTGTCCATGTCTTTAAGTAGTGGCACCTGGTATTAGATCACATACATATTTGAGAAAAATAACCAGCAATTAAAAATCTAATATATATCATTGGATACGAATAATGGTCGTGAAAAATTAAATATGATGCGTTTGGATGAACCTACCTTCCTCAGCCTACTCAACGGGCTGCAACTGTTGATTAATTTGCGGGGAAGAATAGAGCTGATTTCCCTAAACACATCAAAATCCGAGTTGCGATCAAGCTCTCTTTTTATCTCTTCCATGATCTTCGGCTTTCTACTAAGGGGGATGCCATGCTCAGATAACCATTTTTCTACTTCTTGTTCCTTCTCTTTAATCTTCTTGTCACGTTTATCCTTGCGTTTCTGCTTCTCTAAGCTTCCAGTATCTAACTGCACATAGGTCTATTTCACAAAAACAAGGTTCAGTTCATTAATTCTAATTGTTATAGAGAATTATATATAAAGCAAAATGCAAAGAATTAATGGATTAATCCAAAAAAAAAAAAGATAAGAGCATATAATGGTAAAATATTCAAAATACCAAAAATTGCCCTTAGTTAATGAATTTATTAAGAATTGAAACTTTTAATTAAGGATAATATAGTACATTAATATTTTTTCACATTAAAAAATATAAAATAAAAACCAAAATAAGAAAATGGAGTCCTATTTTCATGGAACACAACTTCTCTTTCTTTTTTCTTTTTGTTTTTGTTTGGATTCTCT